TAGTTATTTGGTGACAACTCCCCCCCCCTTCTCCCTTCTCCCCACTCGCTTGACTGGAGTTGGAATCGGGTGAAAAGAAAATTTTTTTGGGAAGCTGAGAAAAGCGGGAATTGGGAAAAAACTGGGATACAGGGTTGGTGGTGGAGTTGTTCGTCTGGCACTGCCATGTCACTCACCCCGATGCTGTGCTCTGTTTCTGATTGTCTCCCTCGTTCTGCAAGCTCCCATTATTAGTATTATTTTAGGAAGAAGAATACAAGGCCGTTGAAGAGGAGGTCAATCAAGATCGTCAGTATCAAATAGATGCAGCAATCGTTCGTGTGATGAAGACACGCAAAAAGCTCAATCATCAGTTGCTGATCTCAGAATTATTTGCACAGTTAAGGTAGGTAGAAGGGGCAATGTGCGATCACTTTACGGATGGATTCCGTTCTGTTAACGAGGTGGGATGGTCTCAGTCGTGGAAACGTAGCGCTACACAGTGCCAAAAGTTTGTGATAATGAAGGTAGAGCCAGCACAGTTCGGCTTGTGGGGGCATCGAATGGTACTCAGCGAAGTTTGCATGGTAAACTTCTACAGACCTGTGAATTCCTGTGGCCGAAGTAGGTCACTTGCACTATTTACGAGAGCTTACGGGTCTCGCCAGGCTGAGACCTGGTATTTAACAAGAACAAACTACAGGAACTGGTGGAAGTGCAAAATGCTCCCTCCATCCCCAACACCGCCCTAGAAGCCTATGATTACTCGGTGCTCCCCTCCCCCCGTTATTTCACATGGAGGTTTGAAATTACCTGAATATCCTCAGCTAAACCTACAGAACACTATCTCGGTGAGAGGGCGCAGCCGAACACCGCTCGTCAAATGGTCGAGCAGCGTGTTGTGTGAGGGGTAGATTAGGGAGCATCCTGCAATCACACCTTCTATGGCACTGTTGGGCTTGGAGAGGTCATTTTGCACGTTCAACAGCTCTCTTTCATGCTAAATAACATGTCTCACCTTGGCGAGATCTGTGAACTCCTGTGAAGTTGCCGAATGGTGCGAGTGAGTCACATTGGTCACAGGAAATTACAGGTTTTCCGGTGGCATGTGCAGTTCCTTTTGGTGCCCCCACCAAGTCAAACAGCGCCGCCTCTAGCTTCATTGCTACGCACTTTTGAAGCATTGC